AAATATATATATATGTATGTATGTATGTATGTATGTATGTACGTACGTATGCTTGCACGCATGCATGTGTGCATGCATGTATAGTATATATATATATATATGTAAATAGTATATATATATATATATATATATACGTATACGATTGCGTTCAAAGATCAAGAGGGTTGCACAATTGATTGTAGGCGACGTTTGGCCAATGTCGGTTGCTTACAATGGATAGAATAGCTAATGCGAATACTGCAGTAACTGCAAAGCTATAGTTGGCAACACTGTGACCAAGGATAGCGTGCGTACATCACAGTGCATTGTAAGACTAGCTAGATACAGAAATCGAGATAAGAATATACCCTGGGTGGGAGAGTTAGATCAGAAGACCTTGGTCTCGATGGCGATGATCTCGATTCCAAGCACATGTCGCGTTGAGATCCACATCGGTAGTTTCTATGATGTGCATTAGGCTGCTTAATATTAATGCCTTCTCGTCCATACATTTCTTCACGACTGCCTGTCTACGTCCCCTGCTCATGCATGCCCATAACAAGTTTGTGGTGCTTAATATACACTTGCATTACGTATGCAGGCACATACAATTAATCTCTAGCTTGACGTGTGTAGCACCTGATGCTCAATATACCTTCCACTGAAAGTCGTACAGATCTTTGTTTTCGCTATTTCAGCACGCTCGAATCCAAAGTTTATGTGCTTCTACTTACCATGCCGTAGAAAACATTAAAATCCGCATACCCAATTCCGGGCCATACATTCCCCTCTCATTCTGAACGGTCCGCTAGTGTAATTGGAACCAGATAATCTATTCTAATACGGAAAATGCCGCAATAATCAGCCGGAAAATGATACAATAACACAATGACATCATGGATTGAAGCGAAACCGCCATATCGCGTTGTTCCTGACATATTGGTGTTCCTATCTTCGTGCACAGAGCATCACGTCATTCTCGACCGAAAGCAATTTGGAGAGATGTGCGTCGATATTCCGAAACTGGTGCCTGAAGCAGTCGCTATGAAGTACTTCCAAGAACTAGGCGTGACGTTATAGTGTAGCTAGAACTGGTAATAATTGAGAACAATTGAATAAACTTAGTGTATCGATGTTCGTATGTTGGCCTGAATATATCCAGCATACTCTAGTTCTTTCCACATCGAGCATATACCGACCAGATAAGAGCCGAGGGCATCTGCATACGCATACATGTCGCTTCGTATGTGTAAGCTTCACATATGTCCACGTTACTAAATCGCTGTGTAGCGATTCTATGCAGTCCTGTGCCTCTGAAATGACTGCAATATTTTAGCTTAGCATGCGATGCTGCAGGCTTTACTACTTCGGTCTGCTTATATTTAATACTGTCTATTAGACGGAGGTGCCGGTACACTCCTGTATACCTGACTGGCTCCCGCTGAACTACTTAACTCATTGCTAGTGGAATGGGCGTTGGTGGGGTCCTGGTGAAACGATACTGTGCAGGGTCCCAGAGCTCTACAGCGTGTACACTTGCTGAAGCACATTCACGCTTTGGACTAGTGCTGTGTTGTTTGTGCGATAACTTTTTCTAGATTATTGTAGTATGAAGACGTCTCCCTTGATTTGTGCGACAGTCTTCGGATGCCGTACGACAACCTCCAACGATGTCTGACAATCCTCCCATGGCGTACGATATACATCCGACGGCGAGGCTATATACGACATTCGTTCAGAAGCCATCATCTTCTCGCCAGTGGTTCACTAGCCCGTTACATGGTCCAAAGTGTACCCGTGAGTACAACCTGCCGCTCTACGACCTTCCTTGGTATTGGCTCGATTAGTATAGTCCAGTCCAGTGAGTGAGGTGTGGCCTCGGTTTGTATATGTAGTCAGTTACTAGGGTATCCGGCCCTCCCTGTGTGTTGGTGACGACAAGTGAACCACACTATGCTACACACGTCTGGCAGCAAAAATTAAAAAAGCTCTCCTATAAATCCCGAGCCCTGCATATCCTATAGCTTGCAAACCTTCTGCTAATGTTCTTTGCGTATAAATGACTGTGACGTGTCTTAGTCGCAAGGTACCCTTCTGGTACTACTGCATCCCACATTGCCAACCACATACTGGCAGGTGACCATTGCCGGGTTTCAAGACATCCCACCCGCCGCCCTGAGACTTCTCCCTTCTTCAACAACTAGCCAAGTGGCCCGACAACTCACCGTGAGTCATCCGCCAGCGTCGATCTCACTTGTACTCGGAGGTACACACTCCATGCAAACTGGCAGGACACTAGCCACCCTCGGTCTCTCTGAGGCAGATTAGAAAGACCTATGCACAGCCTGGGTGGGGTCCGACGGGACAGGCCTATAAGTGGCACCACAGGCAGCGTGTCCGGATATCTACTGGACAGGCAAACCAGTCGGGCCTTCCCGTCCATCTGTACTTGTTGTTTACAATCAACCTTTGCGAACCAGTTGGCAAATGCCAAACATCGATAGCGCCCACCGCAGTCGTGTGGTTTGGTCTGGTCTATGTGGGTACTCAACGCTCCCGTGGGAGAGGCAAGAGATATGCAACAGAACTCATTTCAGTTTGATTTCCGCCTGTGTCTTGGTCTTGATGGCGTTGGCATACAGCATCTTGACGAGACGCTCGCGTGACTGGTACTTGCCGTGTGACAGGCTGAAGATTTCTTTCATGTAATTCGTCAAGATGTCCTTCAGAACAACACAGTATGGCTTGAGTTCCTTGTTCAGCCCCTGGAGGGAATATATAGCAACAGTAAACCATTTTATCAGTCTTTGAGCCATCATACAGCGACTGCCAGGTATGATTATTCAGTCACCACGGAATGGTTGTAGTACTAATTTATTCGCTAGTACAGGACATGTATCTAAGAGCACATACAATATCGAGTCAACGAGCGGCGGACTAAGCTTGAAAGCGTGTGCTTCAGGTAGATATATTATATCTTAAACTTAGATAGTAGCGTGCGCATAGAACGTACCAGAAACCCCAAGGCCAGTGTTGGCGTCGTCAGCGTTGTAACCTTGTAGAAATGCCCCATGAAGGAGTTTTCGTTCATTCCCACGGATTTGCTCTGTAGTAAGGGGGTGAACGGGCTATCTGAGAATGCTTACCCTGCACACTCCGTAACTACTTGTACTAGCGGAAGACATGCGCAGGATATGGAAGCCGTCCGAGTATCAACCAGACCAATAGGTGAAATTCAATACGCCACACTGCAGCACGTCCCAACTCAAAGCAATACAACCAGTACATTGCCAAATCTCATACAGAGGATAGTAATCACACCACAGCAGCACAATATGTCTAGATAGCAGGATCACAGAGTTTTCATGACATGCGACCCGATAATTTTTGTGAGTGCCATCCACGAATGACATTATAGGCGTCCACAGTCATGGCATGAAACCTACACTTATCATGGCAGCGATCCCCTTCGTCACAGCCGTTTCCTTCATAGAATTGGGTATCCAGCTGTTATTGAGAACAGTCATGATCGTCCCGGGTGGATTATCGAGGTCTTCGAACGCGTCCAGCACAATGAAATCCAGTACTATATCGTAGAACGACACGTCGACCACATTTCGGTACTTGAGTTGGGAAAGTATCTGCTTAGACTCGGTTGAATCGACATACTTGAGCATTTTGTGGTACTGCTGCGAGAACTCTTTGGCAGGGCCACCCCCTGTGGTAATGGATTATGTAGCACATATGGGTGATTGGGTGACTCGTGTGCTGACGAAATAGTGGGCATGGCTGAGAGTGAGCGTCTGTCTAGGTAGTGATGGAACGTGGCTAGAGATGAATTGTGTGGTAATGAAGCAGCTTCTCAGGGTGATTGGTGCCTTGACCAAGTTTAGAGGGTGATTGTTGTGGTGGCAGGATAGTGGATGTGAGTCTGTGTGAACCAAATGGCTAGGGCCACCTCCTGCAGTGCTAGCACGATGGAGTGGTGACGAAATACTGTCTATGGGTGAATGGCATGCTAATGGCATACCAGATGGGGCTGTACGGACAGAAGACGGGATGGTGGATCTCGGTATGATACAATTCCTTGTATCACGGATCAATAAATCCGACCAAATAAACTGGTGACAAATAATTATAGTAATAAAAACCGGCAGTTGTTTGCGGGTGAGTGGTGTGTCCAAGAGATTGAGGGAGGATGGTGCTGCGACGCAAGTACGAATACGGGTCTAGTGACGCCCTGTGTAGACGGACGCGTGGCCCAGGGTGGGTCATATGCTTGCAGTATAGTGGAACTGGGTGAAGGGGTTCCCATGAATTGTTCGACTATAGTACATGAACTAAGAAACTCTCCCCCACGCAGCACAGTCTATACAATACACTGTGGCGCACGGTGCTGGAGGTAAGTGGTGGTGTCAAGCTATTCATCTATATGGAGCTACACATAGGATGTTAGCGAGGATAGTACATCGGCCAGTGGGACTTGCAACGTCTTCGCCCGCAGCCGTGAGTGTGGCTATATCCGAGTATCATTTTTGGAGACTATAGGCAAAGTTGCCACAGCCTCGAAGCAAGGGCCGGGCTTGTCGTGTAGTCAAACCCGCCATGGCCTAAAGGATGCACTCTCTGCATTGAGCCATATACGACGTTTATCCAACCTGGGCGACACACCTTTCTGTATAACGTCACGTATAATTTTCTCGCCGTTGGTTCGGAAGTATTGACTCGCCTGTGGGTGTGACAAGAGATCCGAAAACGCTATACGAAGGCAGTACACTTTGGCCAAGAAGTCATCTTCACTGAGACAACCCATCAGATTGGCACGACTCGATCGGGCTTTCACATTTTTTTCCGCTACCGCTCTTAGGCCTTCCATATAGAAATGATCGTCGGATGTGGGGTGTGAGGTGACTTGCCCTGGTGTGGTGTTGCAATTGAAAGGGGTAGTTTGGTTGAGTTCTCTGATGGAAGGGATATGAATATGAACATACGTGTGTATGATTGTGTCAATATATAATCTATACATGAATGCTTCTACTTTATACCCAAGGGGTATAGAATAAATCAGTTCTTACGTAGATGGAATATGTGTGTCCACAGGTATATATTCTATGTAAGTCTGCAATGTGCAATTTATATGACGAAAAGCATACCCGTTGCCCAAAAGAAACTTCACGTGTAACAAACTCAAACACTAGTTAGGTGCGACGACAACTTTATATGCATGGACACCCACCACCACCATACAACGAGGGAGTTCCCATGGTACTAACAACAATGCGCACTGCACATCTACATGGGATTTATAACAGAGCACTTATAAGGGCTTTTGATACCCCACTCTATAGCTCGTGCTTAATAGAGCATCACCTCGACAGGGAGGTGGAAGCAGATACCGCCTATACATGAATTGGCACAAAACAACCTGCAACACGGACAAACCGCTCTACGTAACAGCGATACAACAAGATACACTATTGTTCATGCGCTCAACATGAGACTCGTCTGCAATTGATATGCCGCGCGCTACTCACATGCCATCGGTGGCACGCCAGAAAAATCTGAAGCGCGACACCCTACCTTCATCATGAATTTCAAACATGGCTAGCAAATCTTTCTCAATATAGTCAACAATCTGCGGTGCCTGAAGGGCGAGCAATGGTAAAGACGGAAAAAATCAGTCGCCGGTGATAAAATGATTCACCACTGATAACCCGGTTGGATTGTGTAACATGCCGGATGACGGCCAAACTCTCGGCCTGCGTAGATCCACGGATATATCCTTCACCAGGACTACAAACATGCCAATAACAACCACGATCGCGTCCGCGCAAGACACTCCCAAACCCCCCAAAAAAAAATGTCCCAATAGATCTACACACATACTCGGATATATATTCATGTTTATCTACCCATTCCAGAACCGTTTGGGTCATGACTTTGACCAACACTTGTCGACCACTCCGCCCCATCTCGACCACAACAACCATCTCGCTTCGTCCGCTCGAGAGTCTCACAATTATCGAACGGGCTGAACTACTGAACCTAATACCTACCCAAATACTTGATTTCCCCATGATAAACCATCTTCGACCACTCCATCAGACCTTGAACACAACCACAACCATAATCACAACCACAACCATAATCACAACCACAACCATAATCACAACCACAGCCATAATCACAACCACAACCATAATCACAACCACAACCATAATCACAACCACAACCATAATCACAACCACAACCATAATCACAACCACAACCATAATCACAACCACAACCATAATCACAACCACAACCATACTCACAACAACAACCATGCCCTCGTCCGCTGACGAGTTGCACTCATCAACAAACAGGATAAACTAGTACCAAAATATACCCACTCATACATACGTTTAATAAGTATATATATATGTGTGTGTGTGTGTGTGCGTGTGTGTGTGTGTGTGTGTGTGTGTGTGTGTGTGTGTGTGTGTGTGTGT